TGGCCGGGGAGGTCATTAGTCCTGGGAAAAACCTATGGTTGTTGTTTTGTTGAATAGTCATGCTGCCAAACTGTCTTCTAAATATTTATGTTTCTGTCTACAGATCTGTCAGTCTCTCAAACTCCTTCTGCAGTGGGCAGTGGTTAATGCAGAGACTCATAAGTGACCACGTATAGAGAATTAATTGACCGTGAGTGTTTAAATGTTTACCACACCGCACCCCCGAGGCTCAGGGAACAGCAGGACAGGGTGGTAGCAGGATAGAGAGGAAAGTTCTGAAATGCTACCTTCATACATGGCATGGGGATTGCACTCATGAACTCCCAGCAGGTGTGATTACCTTCAAAAGACCTATACAGATCAAGTCAGACAGATTCCAGCACGGACAGGGAGGGGCTGGTTCGGCCCACCCCTAACTGAGGAACTACTGGCAGCTGATGGCTGCTGGGAGATGGTATGGCTCCTGGCAGGTTGCCCATGGGGCCGTGGATGGCCCCACAGCCATTTGCATAAGTTAGAACTCTCTGCATTCCGTGGGTAATTTTATAAACCAGGGAGGAGACACAAAGTTGGGAAGGGGACATGTTGGGGATCCTGGAGAGAGACTGAAGGGTGAGGAGTGGGCATAGATAGAATGAAAATATATGGTATACATGTATAAAACTCTCAAAGAATTCAAAATATAAAAGTACTTTACATGCTATTATAATACCTCACAGGATGCCCCATGCCTTTGTAAGCATTTATTTGGATTCTCTGAGTTTTGACAACCGTCCATTTTAATTCACCTCAATGTCACTAACAGGCTGTGTGAACACAGGAGAGGATGGTGGTGTGCCATCAAACAGCAAGGGGCCCAGACCTGGAAGACTGCAACGGTCACGCTGGCACTACTGAATATATTTACAAGTTTTTTTATCTTGTATTGCAGCTTTAAGTCTATGACATAGAATGATGTCATTCAAATAAAGAACCCTGGCTGATGGGGTCCTTCTGTGTATGTGTTTGTCTTATTGGATGATAAAGTACTGTTTGGCCAATGAGGCAGCAAGTTAGGCAGGACTAGGAGTCGAGGAGGATTCTGGGAAATGTAGTAAAAAGAGGTGCTCCAGGCAGGAAGTGACATAGCAAGGAGACTCATATATAAGCAAGGGCAAGAAGGAAGTCATTCCCTTTTTCTCTTGCTCTTCCTCCTGCTCTCTGCTCTGGAGTTGCCATGTGATCTGCTTGCAAGAGAGGGCACCAGTGGAAGGTGTCCTCTGTAAAATAAGTCTTATAAAATATGTAGATTTATGATAATTAAGACTGAGCTAGCAGATGAGAAATCCTAGTCATTGGCCAAGCAGCATTTGTACCTAATATAAGTCTCTGTGTGTTACTTGGGACCTTAACAAGCCGGCAGGCGGAACTGGGCAGCCTGGCAGAAAGCGCCCACATGGCAGCAGGCTCGGGTGCTTGTGGCAAGAAAGACTTATTGTTATAAGTGGCTAATGTAGGAATTAGGGTTTCGTTTGCATAGAAACAATCACTGCTAAGAACAAAGAACAACACATGGAACCTAGAAAGTTTGAAACAAATGTTTCCGCATGCATTTCAAAAGGAAAAGCAAGCATGTGACACTGACGGTGCTCTTTACTGGAACTGAGTCGTTTTCATCAGAATTCAGGATGAAAATAAGGTCCAGTGAGACACGGCTCAGCAGTTAAGATTGTGTACTGCTTTTGCACAGGACCGCAGTTTGGGGCCAGCACTCAGTTTGGGCAGCTCACAACAGCATATAACTCCAGGTCCAAGGGATCTGGTGCCCTCTTGTGTCCTCTATAGGAATTGCACTCATGAACATTCACAACACACACACACTCACACACACACACACACACACACAGCAAAACCTTAAAATCTTTTAAAATAAATACAGTTCATAAAAATCAAAAAAGTCCTACCTGAAGCTTTCTTACAATTAGTACGGAAAGATTAAAACTGATGAGCAACGACCCCAGAATCATGGAGTTGAAGAACTGAAGGGTGCAGACAAGGAGCAAGCAGCTTATCTGGATGCCATACAGCCAGGTGGCCTGCAACAAAGATGACACGATGGAGACTTCATCAGGAGACCAAGACACGGTGGCACGGTGGCCACATTTCAGGTCACCAGCACCGCAGAACACATACCTAGCTCCAAGAAACACCGTCTATAAAAGGCCACAACACTGTATAAATTCCATTGGTCTTTCACTTTTACCAACAGGAAAAGTTCTAACGATTCCTCTTTAATTATGCATATATGTGTGTGTGCATGTCAGTTTGAGCATGTGTGCATGCATACAGTGCCTACGGGGGCCAGGAGAGGGCGCCAGATCCCCTGGAGCTGGAGTTTGTCGGGAGCCGAGAACAATTCCATTAGAGAATTTCGGGTTCATACCTCTGGAGCTCCAGTAAGCATTGTTATTGCAGATGCTAGCTGATTTGCTGTTGAATGGCATAGCCTCAGTGGAGAATGTCCCCTAGATTTGCATCTCTACAGAACTAGGCATTTGAATCGGCCTGCACCAGGGCAGAGGGCTAGGTGTACACGAGGAGAGACTGTTTTGAGGTATCTGCTTAGAGGGTCTAGAGAGAGACTGAAGAGAAATGGTCTCAGGGTCAGGGGAGAACGGTCAGAAAGCAGCTGAGAAAGATGCTGGAATAAATGGGAGACTCCAGTTTTGCAGGAGGGAACTGAGCGCTCTCCAAAGATGACAAGATGCTGTGTCTGGTCTTTATCGCCGTTGGGTTGCTAGGAATTTCCAAGTCCACACTTCCCCGCTCAGGCTGGACCTTGTGGCATCTGTGGTTTGGGTCTGAGACATGCCGGGTCACCACAATAGTTACATGTGGTTGTGAGCCACCTGGTGTGGGTAGGTTTAGGGTAGGTTTCTTTATCCACTGAGACATCTCTACTGCACAGTAACAGAATGTTTTAAATTGTGTGACACTGATGAAAAGGGAAACAAAGGGGTGTTTGGGGAAATGGCGAAATGCAATTTATAATTTTCAGTTTTCTACTTTTTATAATTAGTATCTACAACCAGCAGTCAGACTCCATCTGCCCCCATTGCTTTCCAGACCATCCACATCAGGACCGTGCCACACATGACTCCATTTAGTAAATAATCATCCCCAGTTCAGTCTGAAAACCCTCACCACGGCTCACAACTGTCTGTAATTCCAGCTCCGGGGATCAGCGCCCTCTTGTGGCCTCTGTGGGTACTGCATGCACGTGGTGTAGCGATACACATACGCAGGCAAACAGTCCCACCCATAGGAAAAAAATACATAAATCTTTTTCAAAGCAAGTTGATCATTCTTCAATTCCATATTCACACGGACCTACAGAAAATGGCAGTTTTGTTCATCAGACAGACCTGACCTCCCTAATGGTTCACACTATTTTTGTTTTATTTACTTTTTACATTCCAATCCCAGTCCCCCCTCATGGTTCATGGTTTTAGCCTTAAAGGAAACCAATCTACTTCAAGCACAGAGAGGTGATGTTAGAACCCCTGGAAAAACTCCAGCCTCCGGGGTCTCAGCCCACGACTGTGGTCACCCCAATCACCAGGCAGATTCGAGAGCTTGATGCAAACTGCATGAGGCTTTATTGTTTTTTAACGAGCTAACCCCATGTTAGCTCGGGCCTTTCACCCACCCGCCATGGCGGATGGCTAGTAAAGACAGTTCGAAGGTCTGCATAGAGATCTTATAGGGCAGCGTAAGGGGAGTGTCTAGGGGCACAGGCTCAGGATTGGTGTGCCTCCAGGCTTGGAGGGCTTGCCCTGTGTTGATTGGCCAACTGGTTGTTATGGCCCATAGGCCCTCCCAGGGTGGTTGCTATGCTCTGTGCGTCTTTGCTGTGCACTTGTCCATAAAGCACACTCAGAGCCATAAAGCATACCACCACCAGCTAACTTTTGATTGGTTCCTTGCCACGAGGCAGGCCCCTAACCTCTAGTGACTAAGGCAAGGTCATAGCAAGCACATGTTACTGTCATGGCTGTAGAAATGGGGGGCTGGTCCCTTCAGTGAGGCCTACGGGTGTGAGATACCCGTCATAGTGTGTAAGCCCTGGTAGGGCCACATCCTCTGTGAGGAGCGATTCTCCCGCCCTCAGCAATTATTCCCCGGCAGCAGCTACTGGGGTGGTGGGGGGTGATGCCAGGATTTTGGCTGGTTTGATCTTTTTGTGCAGGCAACCACAGCTGACAGAGGCCAAAGAGCTGAGTCTTGGATGGG